CGTGCTTGCGGGCGGTGCGCAGCTGCGGATTGGCGGCCTCAGCGAGAGCACGGCGCGCCTGATGCCCCACGCCCTCGTCAACATGACGAATGTGACGTCGCTGGAGGGCACGATTGTGCTGCATGGCGCGATGCCGCTGCACTCGAGTGTGCTGCTGGCGAACTCAACGCTGCGCGCGACGGTTGGCGGGTCGCAGTACGTGCCGGCGACCCGTGGACACGAGGGATTTCGGTACGGCCCCGCGCTTGTGCTGGACGGCGTCCGGCTTCTGTCGACGCGGTTTGTCTTGACGCGGTCGACGCTGGTGTGTGGCGGGGGCTCGTGCGCTGCGATCCTCGTGGAGCGCGGCCTTGGCGCCAAACTGTCCAGCGTCTTCTACATGGACAACTGCGCTGTTAGTTCGCAGACACACGTGATGTACGCTCTTGCGTCGGATTTGCGTGTTGGCGGCGGCTCCGTGTTCTCCATACAGAACAGCTTGTGGAGTGCTCCGAGCACTGAATACGGCAAAGCCGCGTGTGTGTTTGAGGATATTGTTGTGGCTGGCGGCAGCGTTCTGCAGATTGTGTCCAGCACGTTCCGTCTCGGCTTCGCCATGCTCATGGCAAATACGCTGACCGTGACCGGCGGCAGCTGGCTGGTGCACCGCGACAACGAGTTCCGCACCGCCTACGTTGTGTACATAGTCAAGGAGAACGGCGTGGTGTTCCGCGATCGGAGTGTGTGGTCGATACTTGACAACAACTTCACGTACGGCTCGTACTCGTCAACCATTGTAAGTATGACAAGCAAGTGGTCACCACCATCCGACACGCACCCGATCATCTACGGCGTGTGCAACGCGGCAAGGGGCTCACCTGTGACGGATTACCACTACGACCTCAATATTGGAGCACCCGTGATGGTGCTGGACTGCGGTGCGTGCACCGTGGACGCCGTGTGCTTTGCTGCGAGGACGAGCAGCATCAGCGGCTGTGAGTGCGTGTGTGCTGCTGGCGGCCACGGTGACACGTGTCTGCCAGCTGCGGTTCCGGACTGTCTTGGGCCGCTCCCGCCCCCCGACGCGAGGGACACGGAGGTCCGCTGCGTGCACGGTGGCAGCATCAGCTCTTTGGACGTTCCTGATCCCGGTGTGCGTGGTCTGTGCTTCGTCATCGTGACCTTCACTGCCGCGATTGTGCTGGACCTGTCGTATTTTGACGCGCCACAGCAGACACTCAACATCACACTGCTGCAGTGCGTCTTCATAGGCCTGTCGATCAAGGGGAGTGGTGCATGCGTGCACGTGAACGTGGTCTCCTCGATGCTGGATTCTGGTGAGCTGGTTTTTCAGGGCCATTTTGGCGTGAGCTCCCAGATACTGGTGGCGGGCAGTACGATTGTGACGACGTCGGGCCACGCCATTCTATTTGTGAAGTTTGCTCTCAGTGCGAATATGACGCTGCTGCTACTCGACAACTACATTGAGGCGAGTAGGTACGCAGTCTATTTCATCAATGGTGTTGTTATTGATGGTGGCGGGATTATTGTGAGGGGAAATACACTGAGCACAACGGAGGACGATGACGGTGTGGAATCATCTGTTTGCGTTACTTTTGTTGATGTGAGGAACGGCGGCTACTTTGACGTGGAGGACAACACGATGAGCTCGGCTAACGGCGTTTATCTTTTTGGGGATACCACCGTGAACTCCGCGGGGCTGCTGCGAGTGGCGGACTGCGCCTTTGTCGGCAGGACAGAAATTTTTGATTCCGCGCTGGTGTATGTGTCTGGCTCGGTGACACTCGAGGGTGGTGCGCAGTGGCGCGTGGAGGGCAACAGCGTGGGTGCAGCCTCAGTATTATCTATTCCGTATACCCAGTACAAAATTCAGCTGTTGGGCAGCGGCACCACCGTGGCGCTTGCGCACAACCGTCAGGTGGACTCGACGGTTTTATTCGCTATTTTTTTTCCATCGAGCATTGTTGTTGCGTTACCCGCGCGGTTTGTGGCTGAGTGCAACCTGCAGGGCGATGAGGAGGTGTCGT